CACCCGGTGGGCGTTCACCGTTATAGCCTAGGCCAACCAGTGAAGCGTTCACCCTGGACCACAGAATTCTACACTGTGAACAGAATTATGGAATTCTGTGCTGTGAACAAACGTTCTAGATCTAGACTACTGTTAGTAAAAGCGTGCAATTTTGTCTGTGGGCAGTGGAGAGAGAGATTTAGAGAGAGAGAGAGAGAGAGGAGTAGCGTGAGAACTTCCGGGCAAAACAAAATGAAATGGCAACCCGCATAGTTCGGCTCGATTCGGAAAGTTAAATAGCCGTAGCATCTTTGTAGACAACCAAATTAATTTACTTTTGTTTTTTAACATCATTGTTTAACTTTGTTTTGGCCAATTTGATCGTCCACTCCGATAGACAGTATTCAGAAAGAGACAGAGAGAGAGAGAGAGAGAGAGGGGAGGAGTAGATCTTGCGAGAACTTCCGGGCAAAATAAAATGACGACCCGCGTAGTTCGGCTCGATTCGAAAAGCGAAATAGCCATAGCATCTTAATCTTTGAAGACGATCAAATTAGCTTACTTTTGTGCTATGTACGTAATTTTTTCTTGGCTTTTATCAATTTGATCATCCACACCGATAGACAGTTCCAAAATGAGGAAAAACAGGTCTTATTTCACACCTGGTGAGAATAGCCTACGCTGGCAAGTCTCACCCGGGGTGAGAGGTAGATCGAATTTTTATTGGAAGTGGCTATTCTCACCCGGGGTGAGAATAGAAATACGATCGACCTCTCACCCCGGGTGAGACTTGCCACCGTAGGCTATTCTCACACGGTGAAACAAGACCTGTTTTTTCCTAATTTCGGAATACTTTCTATCGATGTGGATGATCAAATGGATAAAGGCAAAGAAAAGAGTACGACTACGTTATAGCACAAAAGTAAGCTAATTTTATCGACTACAGCTATGGCTATTTCACTTTTCGAATAGAGCCGAACTACGTGGGTCGCCATTTTGTTTTGCCCGGAAGTTCTCGCGCTACTCCTCTCTCTCCCTCTCTCTCTCTCTCCACTGCCCACAGACAAAATTGTACGCTTTTAGTAGGCTAACAGTAGTAATGGAACGTTTGTTCACGGCACAGAATTCTACAATTTTTCTGTTATATATCACAGTGTAGAATTCTGTGTTTTAGGGTGAACGCAAAATTGGTTGGCCTAGATCTAGGCTATAACGGTGAACGCGCACCGGGTGAGAATAGCCAAAAGACTCGCCTGCACTATTCTCACCCGGGGTGAGAATAGAGGTGGCCATTTTTATTCTCACCCCGGGTGAGAATAGCCACTTCCATGATTTATGTCTTTCTGTCTAGACCTAGACCTAGACCTAGGCCATAGATCTGTCTCTAGAAGAGCCTTGGTAGTGTACATCTATATGGCATAGTCTTCCTTGAGCCAAGAGGGACTTGAAACTTTTAGAAATCACAAGAGTTCCCCTACCGGGTCTTTATACTTTGTGACTTTGTTCTCAGTTACCGGGTCTGTATACACTCCCAAGTGCCAGTGGGAAACCTGGGACTGTGGGGTCTTCACCACCCTGAAATCCGCCAAACCAGTGATTCAACTGCCGACTTCCCAAGAGACGGACAACAAATGATTGGACTGGTCAGTTTCTGGTTTGATGGACACAGGGCCTTAGTCTATAAAATGTCATGTTATAAAAGCAGAGAGGGTAGATCTAAATCTAGATCTAGAAGCGAGGAAAGGAGGGGGGGGGGGGGGGGGGCTAAATCCTCTAGACTAAAGACTAGACTGCGGCACAGTCTTGGCTAGGCCTAGATCTATACTATCTCCAAGAACTTTGAAATCAACTCCTTAAAAAACTTAAGACATAAGGGACGCCAGTAGGAAGGCTATTAAAATAGCGTCTTACTTTAGCGTGTCAAGAGCAAGCAATAGTGTACATAATTATTGAAATCCATTTTGAGTATGAGCAAATTCGTCTGAGAGATCGTCGTGCTCCAAGACGGACCCACACTTGTGCAGTCTGAATCAGTCATTCAACAAGACACCATAATCAACGATCTTCAAAAAAAGGAAACTTTGTCGCAGAGAAATTTACACAATCGACTCTATCATGAATTAAAAAATTCAGAGGGCTTTGTCTTACCTGCAAAACGAATCCTCAAAAAGGATGTGTATTAGGCCTACGGTAGAATGCAGTCGATTTGCTCACCCGTTCTGACAACAGCATCCAGCAGTTGACCAAGCCCTTTTCGTCGATAATTCAGCGAATAATGAGCCTCGGTTTGGAAAAGCTATGAGAAGTGAGAAGTCTACTTCCTGTTAAGATTTTTTCTGATTGTCGCAAAATGTAAACAGGAAGTAACTAAGGCACTGATTTTGATTTCACCGTAGTCTGCAATGAAATGCGTCTTGCTCAAAAACATTATAGATGGTGAAATGGCTATTATAAACAGACAATATAAAGCTTGCTAACGTATCCGTATATATTGTTTCGGAAAGTGGACTTCCTGCAAACTCCAAGTGAGTCCAGGCCCGAAACTGCCGAAACAATCTTCGCTCAGAGTCAGAGTGAGACGCCGATCGGAGTCGGAGACATACTGATTCTAATTCTGATGATATGAAGACGAAGAGGCCTAGATCTACTTACTGAGACGAAATAGCCCACTCCATTTGTTTTAATCTCAAATCACTGGAACATGGCTGAAGCAATTGTGGATGTTTCTTGTGTGTCGAAGAGCCTAAACCACGCAAAAATGAAGTTTGAATTCTTTTGGAAGAAAGATTCTCCTTTCAGCCAGTTCCATGGTTGTCTTTTTGAAGTTGATGGTCAGAGATACACTTGTGCAGAGCAGTATATGATGCACCAGAAAGCAGGTGTGGTGCTATTTATTATATTAGTGGAAGAAGCAGGGTAGATCTAGATATCTAGATCTAGTGTTTGTTGACATTTTTAAAATTTGGAATTTATTCTAATTTATTATTGTCACTTCTGCATGCATACTTTCCTAGACAAGGGGTGCCTACAGTCAAAAATTCAAATCACATTATAAATCATGTAATAAGATCAATCTTCATTCCTCACACTCCATCTTTGGAGGACTCTACAACTGCATTGCATAAAGACTGTGAAGGCTTAGCCATCTAGGTTAAAAACTATAATTTAATCTATTATTATTATATTAAGTCAGGCATATACATGTATCATCAACATTAATTTAATTGATAAAAGGCGTAACCAGCGGTATATATATTATATTCTGCAGTTGTGAACTGTTTAGACGTTACAGTAATAATTAAGATGAGGACACACACTTTGAACTTAGTCATTCAATAACTCTCGGAGTTAAGTTGAAGACACACATTGTATTGTTTTTGGGCACTTTGAAAAAAGTTTAGAAGCATTATAATAAATGCATGATTTATAGGCAGTGTCAATTGACACAGATAGTAGCTCTGTGTCAATGGACGCCACGTCAACTGACACAGAGTGAAGGTAGAACTCGTTTGCTCTGAATTTTGTTATTTAGAGGCAAGTGATTTTGTTATTGACACAATGTGATTTTCTTATTGACGTAGAGTGATTTTCTTATTGACACACAAAGGTTTTTTGTTGTTTTTTTATACAGAGTGAGTTTAATGTTTTTAACACAGAGTGAATGTTTAATTTTGACATGAATTAAGGTTGTTATATATATAGAGGCCTACTTGACACTTTCTTCTATTGATTCAGGCTGAGTTAGTTATTGACTGAGTATTTCTCACCCAGTGACTCTGTAAGTGATGCAGTCTAGTGAGTGTTTACCTAACACAGAAGAGTTTGCTCAGCTTGTGTATCTATTACAAAGTGTGCTGCTACAACTACAAATTGTAACAAATACTTCAAGGTTTTTTTAGCCTGTTCATCCTACAGAGATGTTAGTGCTTTCTCTCTTTCAAGAAACCATGAAGCACATATATACTATCATGTGTGTTTGAGATTGCCTGGTCCATTTTTTGCTTCTTCTTACATCCACTACTACTTTCACTCTGTGTCAGTTGACACTACAATATTATATAATAGTAGACAGACACATTTTTCAGTTGTGATTTTTAAAAATATATATGTGTCCACTTAATTCTGGCTGAATTCACCTCCTTTTTTATCAATATTTAGAGAGAAAAAAAATAGCTAAGTTTGAAATAAAAGCTAGTGCATTTTTCTGGTATTTTAGTGTGCTTTGGAGACCATGAAATTGCTACACAGATTTTGAAAAGTATCAAGCCACCACAGATGAAAAGCCTTGGGCGAAAAGTCAAGAATTATGATGATGATGTGTGGGAGAAAAGGTGTTTCGAAGTTGTAAAGACTGGAAACCGGCATAAAGTAAGTATAATATAGACTGACGTTTTATTTTGCACTGCACTCGGGGTATTGTTCAAGGGAGGATGGTGGGTGTGTACGCAGTTTGTGTGTGTGTGCGTTTATGAAGTGTAATTGGACGACATCGATGGATATGGACGGCCTCTTTGGAGTTGCCTTGAATTTTGTTTAAAATTTTCTGCCGTCTCTTTTTTTTTCAATAAAATTCCACCTTTAGTTGTACATTATGAAAATCTTACTTTGAAGAGCAGAATTTTCTTTGCTTTGTTTTTCATGTCTGTTTCGGCTTTGAGTTCTGAAGGTATAGCATGTGATGAAATATTGCATGGAAACAAAATTTGAATGAGACCAATTTTCTAAGAGCTAAATTCAGTCATCAGTTATATCCAAATTCCCAGCACATTCTGTCCATGGAATGTACTGTCTCTGCCTAAGATCCCGCTGCTTATGGTCCCGGTTCGTCTAAGATCCCACTGTTTTGGAAAAACATATGTAGTATAGTAGTATGTAGTATAGGGTTTTACGGCGCTCGCAACTGCTAAGGTCATATGAGCGCTGGAAAAACATAATTTTTTCTATATTATATAAAAGTCACCTCTAAGGTCCGACTCTGACCCGCACTGAAGGAACTACATTCGGCTAAAATCCGGCTTTTCAGGTCATGATTTAGTTTGGGTTTTTTTCTTTCTTTTTAAGAAAAAAAAAGAATAAACCTGGGTGCGCTCAGCTGATCAACCAAGTAGCAAATATATGCCATCATTATACGGCCCGTCACATTCCATCAAACTGTGAACTCATGGACACTTACGTTTTCCAGACCATCTCTCTCGTCTTTGAGTTTTGCGCTCGAACTTCCTAGACAGACTGGCACCCATACTCTTGGACTGTCCGATCGCCTTTGCGTAATGTGGTCATCAGTTGGCAGTGAACCTGCCTTTCATTTTAAAAAAGAATTAGTGTTGACAGTGTGGTCACAACACAACGATTTATGATGCATTATCATTACATGAGCGGGGAACTCTGTCAGAGATGGGAAGCAATAAAATTTTGGTGGGGGCATTGCCTGGAACCTGCTGGT